TATGAAAGCAACACAGTTTTTTAAATTAAATAAGCTTTACTATCTTGTAAATTTATTCTGTTATCTTTTTATGTTAATCTCCAGTATTTTCCTTGAACTATGTTCAACACAGAATATCAGTGATATAGTATTAACTTCAATTTACCCAACTTCCACTTTAGTAATTCATGCATTATATGAAAGCAACACAGTTTTTAAATGTAATAAGCTTTACTATCTTGTAAATTTATTCTGTTATCTTTTTATGATAATCTCCAGTATTTTCCTTGAACTATGTTCAACACAGAATATCAGTGATATAGTATTAACTTCAATTTACCCAACTTCCACTTTAGTAGTCCATGCATTATATGAAAGCAACACAGTTTTTTAAATGTAATAAGCTTTACTATCTTCTAAATTTATTCTTTCATCTTTTTAATAATGTAATGATAATCTCCAGTATTTTCCTTGAACTACGTTCAACACAGAATATCAGTGATATAGTATTAACTTCAATTTACCCGACTTCCAAGATATCTTCGTCGACTTGATACAGGAGATTTGCTGTGGCTCCTGCAAAAATTACAAGTATAACTTTACTACTTTAACATAAAGTCTATCTGCCTTGAAAAATACAAGTACTTTAAAGTAAAAATGCTAACTCTTGTAGTACATGCAAATAAATAGAAAATGTACTAGCTCTAACTAAAGCCTATTGAGAAATCCATAAAATTCTGGAACAACTCTATTTTCTGAAAGACAAAAGACTACAATACATATAAAAAAACCTTAACACTGACTTTATCTAATTAATAAATGCCAACAGCCAAATAATAAAAGAGGCTTATACTGAATGCAATTTGTTACTCATTATACATTTCTTTGACCCTGATGTTAGACTATCTTTGTTTCACATATCTTGTTGAACAGTTTTTAATCCTGACTGCATCCTACATGTGTAAATACATACGAGTCAACTAAGTGTATTAAAATTTTTTATTTCTAGTTTTTTTAAAAAAAAGCATATTCTTTCAATTATGAAAAATTATATTAAAAGGGAAATTGATGTTTTTAATTTTCTTACATGAGTTAACAGTGTTCTTTTAATTGGTAATAGTTGAACCAACTCACTACCAGAGAATCAAAAAAACCACTGTGCAAAAGTCAATGAACCCAAGATATTATTAAAATAACATATATGTGCTTGCAATTAACTAATTTCTACACGTACATAGTCATAATAAATTAATTAAAATAAATTATGAAATTAAAAACATGTAAAAGTTCACATAATTATTGATGGAATGAAAATTAAATTAAAGATCAGAATACTTATAAGACCATCATTAATTAAGAGATAATTACTTTTTCTTGCTATTTTTTGCATAAACTTATATATATTATTAATTTTGACAGTTCATTTCGTTCTATGCTACAGGTTTGCAATAACATGAATTCTTGCACATGCAATTGGAGCTTCGAATACATAACCAGATGGTGTAAAATCAGTAAAAAGGAGCTGCTGCATGTAATATTCAATCATCAATGATGGCTCCAGCATTTATTAGCAAAAGCTCAACAAAGTAAATTCATTTAAAGTATTTTGTAGATCTTAGATGAACATCAGATAACATTGCATAACAATATAATGTTAAACTTTTGCTACTCTCCTTTGAGCATAGCATACTAAAATGCCAGAAATACAACACAATCAATACACTTAGTCAATTTTTAATAATCAAACTTATGGATAAACTCGTGCTTCATGCATGATGTATTTACTAAAATTATTTGACTACTAAAACATTCTTTAGGAAAAAAAATGGATATAGATGGGATTGAATCTTTGACCTCTTGCATACAAAGCATGTGCTGTGCCATACGAACCAAAGCCCTAAAATATTTTTCACTTATGCAGCATTATTAAGTGGAATACTATATATATGAGAAAAGTGTATATTTTAAATAGATAAATCCTTTCAATAATACTGTTGCTGTATTACGTAGTTGGGCATACAAAAACCTACTAAGCAGAACACGGAGTTGTTGTATTTAGATTTAAAGTAAAGAAGTGTAAAAACATGGAATGTGAATAAATTAAATACATCTTTCTACATAACATTTTTTGAATAAATACCTTGTCTGTGTGGATAATCAACATTTTTGACTAAGATCTTTTTGCTCGAACTCTTGATAAAGTGATTTTATAAAATAGTAATTTTTGAAAGTAATGTATCAACAAAAATAAAAAATCAACTGTGTTTGTTTGTCCCTAATTCACTTATATTTCTTTTTCCTTCCATAATGGTATAGATTTTTTCTTCTCCCCTAAAGTATTAACAAAGCATCAGTTTCACTTCTACCAATAAATGAAATGGTGTAATATTTTATTCATCCTAACAGGTAAGCTCGTTCTTCACAGATGAAGTGTATTTAAACTTTAGGCCTAATCTTCGATTTTTAAGCACCTGTATTGGGATAGTTGGAAACATGTAATAGTTATAAATTAGCGAATATTTAAAATTATAGTATCAAGAAGTGTAAAAATAAACTATTATTTGTTTTTTTGGAAATTTCTTGTGTGTGTATGTTGCTAAATTGCATCTGTATATCATTTGAAACTTGTAATTATTTTCCTTCCCACAACATGTTCGTTGTAGAGCATAGAAAATGAATGAAGTTATGGCAGTGACTATTAAGGCTAATTACCTTAGATTATATATAAAGTAAACTTGTGTTTCACATATCAAGCTTCTTTAAACTTTAGGCCTAACTATTGACTTTGGCACCTGTTGTAATTTGTATTGAGATGTATCAGTATTGCATTACTCATAATCCATGGAAAGGTAAAGAATTAACTTTATGGGTTTCATTGCCTGTTTATATTACTGAAGTAATTGTCTTTAAAGTTAATGTTATAAACATCATAGTTTTGCATTCATATGGAACAATGCACATTAAATGTTACTCACTTTTGCACTCGTATAAATGTATAAGTACCACTGGACAATTACCCATTAAGAATATTAGATTTCCATGTGAGCTACCATGCACACACACATGAACTGACTGACAAACACTGTTCTTTCAATTACATAGACAAGAAAGAGAAATTTGTAATTGTTTTAAATATTCCAACCAGGCTGGCTCTTATACAATATTGTTGGTCAAATACATAAGCCAATTATAATTTAAAGTTTATAGAAAACCTATGACCTTATTTTAAAATAAGTGAAAAATTACTCATAGCATAATAAAATACTAAAAATAACAAATCATGTCAAAACTTTAAGGATAAAGAAACACTCTGATGCACACAGGCAATTAGTGAATGTCAATTTAAAAAACAACTTAATTTATTTTTACACAAGCTCTTACTGTTAATCTACTTGATGGGGAAAAATAAGTATCTACAAATACATACATAATATTTTGTGTAAAAAAAAAACAACTTACCTCCTGCTTTTTGAACTGAAATTAAAAAACAAAATAACATTACTTCATTTCTATTTTAAACTGATATATATCACTTTAAATACTCTGCTTATAGATATTATGTATACATATACAGCTAGTTATACAAATTTTAATCTCAAGTCTACAGTTACACACTTAAAAAAAATACACAAAAAAACATTTGTCTGTTCTAGCATCATGTAGTTAACTAAGATATTTACTTCTTTACAGACATTTTATCTGATGCTTTCTTATTGATCTAAAAGGTCTTGCTATTCACTTCAAACTGACATAAAAAAACAGAATGGAATATGTAAGGTTTAGTTCCTTGAGTTTCTATCACATTCTATTAATTCACCAACCCCTTTAGTTGTAGACATATATATATATATCCTCCACCACCACCACAAATTTAATTTCCCACACATGATTATCATTAACACATTAGTGATGCATCATATTTTACTTGGAACAGATTATTAACATGCATACAAGAGAAGACAGAAAATTTATTTATAAATTATTTGTAAATCAATGTGTTAAATTTCTTTTTGTTAAATGGTCTTCCAAAATACAAGTGCTTCAAACAAAACAGAGATAATCTCATACTGACTACTGCTAATTTGATGTATATCTTGTTTGTTTTTTCTTTTGCATAGGAACCAAATTTCTATATTCTAAAATGGTGTCCTTGATCATTTAACCCCAAAATCAATAAGGATTTCCCTAAACCTTATGGAAGTGAGTTGTGAAATTTGATTAAAACTATTTAGTACTATGATGTGGAAACCAAATATCTTGTTCTTGAAATGGTAACATCAACCTTTTCAGTTGAGAGGGTTTAAAAAAGAATAATAGAAAAAAAATTACTTGACTACTGACATGGTTGCACTGTTCTTTATAACCCAATACCAACAGCTAGAGAAAACCATTCTCACAACTACTAGGCAAGTAAGACTACAGCATCAGACTAATTATTGCACAAATCTGTTTAAAATTTGCCAAGGTAACTTTTTGAAAATCAATATATTTATATATTAATTTTAAAATAAAAAAATGTTTAAAAAAGCATGAAAAATGCTGCTATAAAATCATTAATATTAGTGTACAAATAAATTTCAGTTAAAAGTGGTTGAATTAGACATCCTGTTAAGTGATCTCGTGATCACATGATGCATCATCTATCATCAGCTCCCTATGCAGAATGTTCATTTAAACACTTTCAATGGTATGTGCTTGCTATGTCTTTTGAATTCCATTTTACCCATAAACTGGTAATACGAAACTTAGTTTAAATAAGAGCATAAGAAAATTATAAACACACAGTCATTAAGTACTGAGAAAGAAATGTTTTAATTAATCATTTTGAAAAGATGGTTTTTATACCAAGTTATAAATGAAGCATTTTACTACTCAAAGTTAGAGAAAAATGTGAAAATAATAATGTCTACTAAGAAGGAATAAACAGAGTTATGAGAATATTAGACTTCATAAACTATTACTTACTATCTCCTTTTTGGTGTTCGGGACTTTGACCTTGATTTCTTATTGCGATGATGTCTTCGAGAACGTGAACGACTTCTGTATATACAAAGTATGACTCTTTAGATAATATTTAAACCATACACAAAACTTAGTATAGTGACTTCTAGAAATATCAACCAACTACTAGTAAAAATATTTGTTAGAAAGCCTCCACAGACCCATGGTTGGTTTTTATTACAAATCATATTTCTTACATGAAAATAACACCTGATTGTATATTTATAGCACTTGTAAAAGAAAATTTAAAATGAAACAAACATATTATTGGAAGAAATCTTCAACTTCAACATTTCTGTGTCTCTCTTTAACCTTAAAAAGTTTTTCAATCATTTTGAAGCCACTTATAATCTTTTAGAGTGAGTGAGAGACAAGGAAAGTGCAATGTACATTGTGTGATCATATTCCCATCATGTGGTTAGTGGTATGGACATAGTGCCCATTCTCAGCTCATCCATGTTTAACAAAATATGGTCGTACTATTACTGATCAAGCAAATAAATGTAACATGCCTAAAATAAAAAATATTACTGAATAGTTTTTCCTACATCAGATAATACCTGGACGGACAGTCATAATATTTAAACAAAAGGCCTTTAAAATAAACTATCCCTTATTTCAAATGAAGCTCAAACATATAAGTAATGTAAATTCAAACAATTACATATTTTTCATTTCTATTCTCAGTATTGTTTGAAAAGTGGACAGGAAATGCTATCTGTGACAGTTCATTTTAGAACTTTCTATGGGGATCATGTCTCAGGACTTCAGCCTGAGCTTCAAACTACACAAACAGTGCCTAATTAAAATAGTTTCACCTAATTACTCTTAAAAGATTATGAAAGCCTTGACCATAAGTTAATGACAATGCTTCTTGGGTCAAAGTGAGAGAACCCAGTTATCATGAATTCAGTAAACCTAAAGATTTATGAACAACAAATACAAGATCCATTATGACTAGAAAATATCACATGTTTTGCATTTAGTAATTCAAATTTATTTTCACACCCAATTTTTATATATGTTTCTATTCTTAATCTTTCCTTTGTATTTGATTATTACCTGAAATAACCTCAGGCCTAAACAAGTTCAAATTTGCAAATTCTAAATTGATGTTCATATTCAATATTTATGCAAATTTCTTGAATTAATAAATATTCAATAACACTTTATGATACACAAATACAATCAAAAATATTATGTACAAGCATGTTTAAAATATATCACTTTAACATTTCAATAAGCATATCCAGCTAAATCAAAATATAAAAATTCACTAATATATATATTATCCAAATATTATTCTTAATATCATGTAATGTAATCACTCCAAGTACTTCCTTATAGATGAGGACAAAGGTTTATCAGACTTTCCTATAGAAGTGTTTAATTGTACAAGACATTGGTAGACTTGTACAATTAAATAATCATAATAATTAAATTGTTATCTAACAGCTAATTACTATCCCATGCAAAAAGTACATAAAACCCAAGGCTTCACAATGTGAATCAACTTTGAATAAATTAGTGAGAATGAACTATTTTATTAGCCTAGCTCAAATGTTTGACTAACTTGTGTCAACTACAGACATTTGAATGAACTACATATTTATATGTATCACAACCAACTGAATTAAAATTGATGATTCAGTTATTTAAAATTATCAAAATAAATTGTAAGGTTGAGAAAATGTACAGAAATGAGCTTAGATAATTATTTTAGTTATACTTTTAAGTTTTAACTGTATCATGTATATGCACAATATTTTTCTTAACCACAACTACCTTTCATCAGATAATGTGAAAAAAAAATTATTTTACCATGACCTTTCAGTGGCCAACTGGAAAAACTTTTTGTGAGGTTCCTCTTTCTAAACATACCTAATCAAAAACACTTTAGGTGCATGTGGCCAAAAAAGGATTAAGTGTGCAACATAAAGGAATGAAATCAAAATTTGCAGCCATACTGTTAACTGCGCTTATAGCATTGATAAGAATTTTACAGAAATATTCATTCATTAGTTAGCCAGGCCGCATTTTTTGTTCAACTTAGAGCTTGATGGTGGGTAAAACAAAATATGTGGCCTAACTAACTAACGAATGAATATTTGCTGGAAAATTCTTCTCAATCCTGTAAGTGTAGCTTCCAGTTTGGCTGCCAATTTTGATTTCATTCTTTAAGTCACGTGCAAAATCATCCATAGGTGAGGAAGGATCCACAAAATGCAATAAAAAAGAATTAAAAGGGATTGGAACTGTTGATGATGTAGGAAGAAAGGAACCAAACACCTGATGCACAGTAGCAGCAACATCATGAACAGATAATGCGCTTCAAATTGCCGTTGATAGAGATGTAGAAGATTCCTGAAGAGGAACTTCCGAGTCTTAAGATGTAGAAGTAACGTGGACTTCAGAATTCATAGTAAAGTGATGATTCCATGAGTAATGTTTTTTTGATACAGTAAAAATCAGATGACTACAAAAAAAATGAAATGTCAAAAAGGACAAAGATAAGGTATATATAAAAAAGGCAGATAATTAAAGTGACAGAAAACTTTAAACAAACAGGAAAAACATGCTCATACAGGAGCAGTGTCGAGAAAAATATAAGCTTATGAGCATGTGCTAGTGCTCACGGGGATTACTGCTCAAGGAGGTTGTGCCACTCTCATATTGGTGGAGAGCTACAGCATTATGATGACTACTTTATAGACTGGCACAATACATGTGTAGTGGTGAGAAATTCCATGTTAGAGAGGTAAGTCACATTTCTGAAAATGTGAATTGCAACACTTAATTTTTTTTACATCACTAGTTAAATTACAAAGTTATTTTTCACCTTTAAATCCTGAAAGAAAGATACCATTTTTTACACTGAACATTTAATTGTACAAGTACAAGTTTGAAAGTAGTCTAAAATCAAAAACAATTTTCTAATTCCAGTTCCTCCATTTAAATATTTTATTATTTGGTATCCATCCACTCGCATGAAGTTATCAAGAAAATTAAAACAAAATACACACACTTCTATTTAAACATGATATAATATTGCTTGAAATTGTTTCATTTGGCTTGATCTATGGCCTTTTGATAATATTTATTTTGATTTATTAATATTATCTTAATTTATTCCATTTTTTTCACTAATGAATATTTTTTAAATTACAATTCTCTAACTGTCTGCTTCCAATTTTTATCTAAATTTCAAAAATAAATTCCATTTCATTTTTATCTTCAGCATGAAGACAGTGTGCTTAATATGAGAAGTAGTGAAGTTAGTGAATAAATGAGAGACCAGTAATAAAAATAAACTGGTATCTATAATCACTATTATTATAAAATAGAAAACTGTTTATTGCTCCAAAATGAATTAATAAAATTATAATCATCCTTGTGCTTGGTGCAAAAATATCAAATAATTTTAATGATTTTACTTTTTGATAAAATTATATTGAGTCATTTTGTAATATGAATCAATATCTGTGATGATCTTTTATATGAACTTTTAGAGCCAAAAACATGATGTAATGATGTATATTTTAACAGGATCCACCACACAGCATGTCACATTATGATTCAGTTGTTGGAAATGATTTGGTAAAAATAAGTCAAAACTAATATATATATATATATATATATGGCTCCAGGTCACTACAAATAAGCTGTTCTGGATTTTTTGAACCAAAATAAGAAAAAATACCTCAAATGTTTAAAGATGTGTACATCTGTAAGCTTGGTGCCCTTGCTGCATGAACTTAGTCCAACTTGTTGACTCATTGCCAGCTGTGTGTGGAAAAGACTACTGGATAATAAAACAAGTACCTAGCTGCTAGCCAGTAATAGCAGTCTACTGCTTTACTCAAACCTAAGGCAACTCTAGTAGAATTGAGGTGCCCTACACAAGTTGATGACGTACATTACAACTTGCAGCTTCATTATTATGAAACTAATATTTAAATCTTAGTAAAATGCTGTATAAATTCAGGTACACTACTTATTTATAAAACAACTTACTTTTAAGTTCTCAACTGTAAATGACTGTCTCTTTTAACTCATTTTTTTCATAACCCTACTTCACGCAACAACCAAACAAAACTGATTTATCAGGTTCTTTCTTAGTATGATTTACTAAAACACAATTGACAAAAAACAACTTTTCAAAGTCATGTCATGTATTGATAAAGATTTGAAATGACAAGCCTATTAATGGCAAGATTTACCATTATATTATAAAGTAAAAAGTGTTATTCTCTATGAGATCAAAGTGATCAGAGTTCATCAAATGTTCTTGCTGCTGTGAAGCATTGTGGGAAACAGGTACGTGCTGTGACTGAAAGATAACAATAACCTTTGGCCTCAATGTTTAGATGTTAAAGCAGTGGGAATTACCATAACAATCAATATCAGTCAGCAAGAAGTTTGTTTGTACAACTTACAGAAAACTAAAATCATTGTCAGGTCTTCATACCTTTAGAGAAATGTTTTTGTTTTACTTTAGACTTCATTTGGTATAAATTTTTCTGTGGCAACTGAGAATTTTGTCATGATCATAAAATAAGCATAGTTAAAACTTGATTAAGTGTTGTAAATGAAAATTATATCTATGCAGATGGATTGGAATAATATATGAGAACCTAATTAAGTTTGGACTTTGAATTAAAATCTCTGTGACATTTGGTGTTTGCTAAGCTATCAAGACATTAATGAAATTTTAAACATAAAATGTGATGCATTAATCTGAAACAAATGTGTATAATTACATTCATAGTTCAGTATTTTTACATTACAACACCTAAATTATGTATGTAAGCATAAACAAGCATTGTTTGCTTTGAATTTGCTAACTTAGTGTCTTGCAAATGTCAGTAAATAAGCAAAAATTTCCTCTTTCTTAACGATAAAACAAAACATGAACGTAATAACAGAAAACATTTATTAGACGTTTCGGAATCATCATAATTCCATCATCAGTAATCTAGGGTTAGAAAACAAACAAACAATATACAACAGAAATATATACATAAAAAATATTCAAATCA